AAAAAAGGAGGTGTACAAATAGTGGAAGCAAGAGGTTATCACCAAGGAGGATTACACCTCCGTTGCTCGTGACTGCAGGGAGGCAGTTAGGAAGGCCAAGGCAGAGATGGAGCTAGGGCTAGCGAGCAGAATTACATATTTAATAAAACTAAAAGAATCTAACATTTTTTTACAACTTCCACAGACATAGCATTGTCCTCAAGTGTGCAGTGCTGAGCACTAAGCTAAGGATTTCAGAGGTAATAGAGAGTCACAGAAAAATAATAATTATTTAATAGTGTCTATACTGGAATAAATAGTTGAACATTGCTACTGGTAATTGTTTTTCATTCCATTCAACTCCTCCATTTAATTATATTGGAGGTTGATTTTAAACAATATTCCACAGCTTCCAAATTTATCATTAATACTCATACCTTTGTTAAAGGCATAGGTTCAATCCCACTCTACCCATTAGGCATCCAAGTGATACTAGGCATCTAAGTGCAATCATATTCCATCCTACTCCTAGTCCATGCTGTACTAGGAAGCATGTACAGGTGCAATTTATGGTCTCACAGAATATGGTCTCACATAGTACCTCTTCTGTCCTGAAATTCTACCCTACTGTCATTCACTCCCGTGCTTTGAAGGGCAGGTATTGCCAACAAGTTAATGAGGCCCTGGTTTATGATTACAGCCCTTGCACTCTTCTGCAATATAAACAAATAAATGAACTTGGCAGTGATAAATCTCCCTGTCATCAAGCCTACAAAGCAGGAACCCAATTATCAAATGTGTGAACTACTATTTTTAAATAAAAATCAGATATTAGTTCCTCTTACAAATAATCTCAAAATGTAAAATCAAGAGATACAAACCTGGTTCCATGTTCCAGAGTACTCACAATCTCTTTTCCTCTGGAAAAAAATAACTGAGAATTTCCTTCTCCCCTTATTTGATATGCCAGTCAAAACACTGTAGTAGAGATTATACCATTACATTCCAGATCAAAACCACGTATACATGGAGAACCCCCCTCCACTTAAAAAAATAAAAGATGTTACAGAAAGTGATATTAACTCTTGCATTTCACACAGAAATGCAATGTAAATTTAGCCCCTGATCCCAGAGGGAGCCAGGGAGACCCCCCTCCCCCATTCCCCTGCAGACCCCAAGAACCTCCCAGACCCCAACAATACTGCCATGGGCCCTGCCTGCTCCCTCCATCACCCATCCCCTCAATCCTCCCACCGAGGATCCCATCTGTCCCTCTGATCCCCTCAATCCCTCCCCAGAGCCTGCCTGCTTTCCCTGATTCCCCCCCGCCAGCTGCCTCCCTGCCAGGCCCTCCACCCAAATCATAACTTACCTTAGATCAGTGGTCTCCAATCTTTTTACGTAGGAGATTATGTTTTGCATTTAAAAGCAACCCAAAATCTACCGTGTGCTGCCCCCTCTCCACCCCCCCACCCCCCGGCCCAGCAGGTAAATCTGTGGAGAGGGAAGTGGGGGGTGCAGATTGAGGCAGAGGGAGAAAAAATTATTTGGTGGTGTACCTCCCCAGCAGGTAAGTCCCACCCACCTGGGGCCCCACTCAACTTACCCGTGCTCCTGCTTCTACAGCACTGTCTATCACCACAAGGGCCTCGATCTAGCCCCTGCCCCTTCCCTCTTCCACGGACTAACCTGCTGGGCTGGGGCACACATGTGCATGCACACGGGCACTCAGTTCCCCACCCCAGCCTCCAATCGACTCCAAGAGGCTCCAAGACCTACCGATGGATCGAGATCCACTGGTTTGTGACCTTAGATCGTGTATCCTTAGATCAATCTAACATCCTCCTAACCTCTGTATGCACCCTTAGTTTATCTTATACACCTATTTTAAAAGCCACTACCATAGTATCAAATAAATGTATAGTTTTTCATACCTGCTTTTCTGCTATTACTGTAGTCTGCATGTCTGCAAGTTTAAAGCCCTGTAAATGTTGAAGGGGTTTTAACCATCGAAAGTGAAACTTAAAAGCAGTTCCTGTTTTTTTGTCATGAGTCACAATAATTGTATTTCACATTTCAGCATAATAGTCCCTCCTTAATCTTTGTGTGTGTATGTGTGCATATGCATGCTGTTTCAATTGTTCCATAAAAACAAGTGTAATAGTGGTCTTTAAATATTTATAGTAATCCATCTGGAGCAGTCTTTAAATATTTAAAAGGTTGCTATAAGGAAAAGGGATAACAACTGTTCTCCCTTGCCACAGAGAGCTGGACGTGGGGCAGTGGCTCTGAATTCCAGCAGAGTAGATTTAGATTAGATTTTAGGGGAAACTTACTCTCAGAACAGTGAGAAAGTGGAATGGACTGTCCAAGGAACTTGCACAGTCTCCTGCATTGAAGTTTTCAAGAGGAGGCTGGGTAAGCATTGGACAGGGATGATTTGGGAGTAGATTTTGTGCAGAGGATTTGGCCAGCTGGCCCTTGAAGTTCCTTCCAACCAGGGGCAGATCCAGAGGTGTGGGGGAAGGAGTGGGAGGGGCTGCACTGGTGCATATGCACCCCCTTTGATTCCTTTTATACCCAAAATTTAAAACCAACTAGCAGTGGCAGCAGCATTTCTAGTCAGGCAGTGCTGAGAGAGTCAATTGACTTCACGGCTCATTATAATATACCTGAACCCTTCTAAACTCTTCATTCCACAGGTGGTAAGGATCGCCTCTTCTTTTTAATGGTCTTGATATTCCACCCATGAAGCTAGCTTGTTTCTGCAATTCTGCTGTCTGTTAACTGCTCCTGAAGCTCCTATTTCACAGCCCTGCAGATTGTTTTTGACTCATTTCAATGAAGTTATATTTGTTTTTACTTCAATCTTAAACTGAATAATACAGCCCCAGGGCCCTTGGATATTAGTAAAGCTTCTAGTTCATTTTTAACTGTAGAAAATATATGTGTTGGTTTATACATGATCATGCACCTCACCATCTGCTCCCCAGTTTTCAAAATACTAGATCTGGCCATGTTTCCAACCAAATGATATTATACGAAGTAATGGATATTGCAAAACAGTAGAAACTGGCCAGACTGGCACAAGTTAGGTGGCTCAAACAAACAAAACAATCAGCTTTGCCATGATGACTTTTTATCAAGATCTGTGTTTTTTTTAATCAAGATCTTTCTTTTACATTTGCCTCCCTCCAGTAAAAAGTAACTTCTCCATTTTCTGTTAACTGGTAAGTGATAAATACAAACAGCTAGCTTTTGGTTTATGTTTGCTGTTCCACCTATCTGCACTGCAGAAACTGAGCCACTGAAATGAGATTCTCTACAGGGCTATCAAACAGAGAGAGTGATTTTAATACAAAAGACTAGGAATGGAGAAGAGGGGAGCTGAGGAGCAGTGCTGAGACAGACAAATGATAAATTCATAGGGGTCATAAAAACTGATCCAGAAAATGTGCTAAGACGCTGTAGTCCTTGATTAGACCATGCTCAACTCTATCCAGTCTGCGGATGACTTCTTCTGAAATTTCTCAATTCAAGTTGTCTTTAAAGCTTGAACATGCAACTGCCTTTCCTGTCTTTTGTATTCAAGTCACTCTGTTTGATAGCCTGTTCTGTGCACTTCCTTTCACAGCATCTGACAAAGTGAGCTTTGGATCCTGGAAGCTTATGGATCTCTGATTCAGGAAGGGCCCTGCTACACTTTCCAATTCAGGCTGGAAAGAAGCCAGCAATAGAGCTGTTACACATTTTCAATCACTCACTTTGTAGCTTGTTGTGTCTTTTTGGAGCCAGATAGTCATTTTTTATTGTGTGAACATTACTTGGCATGTTCAGCCAGTCTAAATTGATTGTGCAATTCACCAGTGACTCACATGCTAATTCTGTCACACAAGGCCAGTTGAAACTTATGGTGTACATTACCAGTGAAATGCATCATATATATATAATGTGAGGCAGGGGCCTATGTCTATGACAGATTCTCTGCCAGTATCTGAAGGATTCTTATAGGCTAAAGCTAATACCCTGGCAGTAATATCACAGGAGTATGATATTGTGTGCATACAGGAGACACACAAAAGAAATAATAACTCTTCCCGGCCACTGAAGGGAAAACACATGTTGCTGAAATAAGCGATAGGCAGTATAGCAATGCAGTTTTTGCTAGATCTGACCTGTGAATTGATCAAGTGTATACCAGCACAAATGAGAATAACATCGAAACCATCACACTTAGCCTCAAGAATATCACTATAACATCTATAAACAAAACACCATCTAGTATTTCCCAGTGGAACAACCTACCTGACAGTAGCACATGCAAGTTCAGCCTTGTGGTTGGTGACTTTAATTCCCATAATACATCATGGGGATATAATGACAACACTGATGGCATCCAAATAGAACAATGGGCAGAGAACAATAACTTGATGCTGGTACATGATGTTAAAGAACCCAAGTCATTTAACAGCAGCCGCTGGAGAAGTGGATACAATCCAGGCATCAGCTTCATGGGCAGTAGAATCAGTCAGATGTGCAAGAAAGCCATGTGGAAAGCCCATACCTCACACTCAACATCACCCCATGAATATCAAACTAGGGTCCCCAATAATGGTGCAAAACACTCCCTTACGCATATGTTTCAACCTGAAGGCAGCCAATTGGGCAGCCTTCACAGAGGCAATGAAGGAATCAGTTGGGGACATTACACATACCTATGAGAATTATAACAATTTTGTGAGGGCTGCTGAGAGAAGTACCTGCCACTCCATCCCACGGGGCTGTCAAGTAAGATATATCCAAGGCAAGTTGAGCCCAACATCTGGTCTGTACGCTCTCTATAAAAAAGAATACCGTCTCAACCCCTTCTCAGAATCCATGATTATGCTGGGAGAAATCCTAACACACAACATAGGAGTAGAGAGATGCAGTGCTTGAAAAGAGATGATTGAGAACATCAATCTGACACACAATAACAAGAAAGCTTGCGTAACTTTAAGAAAACTAGGAGACAACAACATCACACCTCTGGCTATATCAGTGTTACTGCCAACCAGGATGCACAACAACTGCTCAACAACAGAAAGCACTTATATAGAAGAAACACCAGAGAACACCATTGCTGCATTATACTATCTGACAAGCAGCCACCTAAAGACCTAACCCGCCCATTTACTACGAAGGAACTAACAGTCAGCATAGTCTCACTGAAACATGGGAAGGCAGCAGTAGACGACGTACTTGCTGAGATGATACAACACCTAGGACCCCTTGCAAGGCAATGGCTCCTTGATCTATTCAATGCATGCGTGATGAATAAATAAATATCATCAGTATGAAGGAAGGTAAGAGTCACAGATTTGCCCAAACCAGGGAAAGACTTTCACCGCCAAAAAATCAGCATCATCTACAAACTCTATCCTGCAACAAATTTCACTTGGTAGATTCTAAACTTACACAAAACCAAGCAGGTTTTAGACCAGGTCGAACCTGTGGAGGCCAACTACTAAACCTGATACAACACATCAATGACAATGCAGCGTCTGTTGACCTATCTGCTGTATATGATCCTGTCCAACACCACATCATGATCCACAAACTGTACTTCATGACTGACAATTTAGATCTAAGCCAGTCCATTCATAGTGTCTTGGAGAACAGGTGCTTCTACATGGAACTAAATGGGCAGAAAAGTAGATGGCACTCCCAAAAGAACGACCTACCACAAGGCAGTGTGCTCGCTCCACTTTTATTCAACATCTATATTAATGATCAGCCACTTCCTGCTGCATGTCATCGGCCCCTTCCTGCTGAATGTCAGTATTTCATCTATGCTGATGATCTCTGCATTACCACAGAGCAGAAGAATTTTGAGGACACAGAGAAGATTCTGGAGAGGACACTGGAGAATTTTGAGGACAGAGAGAAAATCCTGGTGCTGGGTGATGCAATGAAGAGGCGTCACCTGGTAAAGCGAAAAATGAGCCCTGAAAGCGCTGAAGGAGGAACGTCAAGGGCCGGAGGACCAGCGGGAAACCACCAGGCAGAGAGCATCCAGCTGCTGCAGTCGGCAGTGGCAGTGGTGGTGGCAGCGGCGGAGGCAGCAGGAGCTGCAAAGGATCCCCGAGCTGGGGAAGACTGGCAGGGATTGAAGACGCAGGCAGGGAAGCCAGCAGTGGCAGAGGCAGCAGGAGCTGCAAAAGATCACTGACCCGGGGAAGACCAGTGGGGATTGAAGACACCGGCAGGAAAGTCAGCAGCGGCAGGAGCTGCGGGGAATCCCCGTGCCGGAGAAGCCCGGCAGGGATCAAAGGAGCTGGCGGAGAGACTGGCAGCGACCGCTGTGAGAGCCGACATGGGAGCTCTCATCAGAAGCGACGGGGGCTGCAGCTCCTGGGCAGAGGTGGGTCCCGGAGGGGAAGAGAGAGACCCTGGCTGGGGTGGAGGCGTAGACCCTGACCCCAAGGGCACGCTAGCTTAGGGGCATTAGGGGCTAAGGGAGTACGGGACACTTCCTGTGATTTCCCCATGTCTGTTTTGTTCTTCCTTCATCTCATTGTTCTTGTAGTCAAGTTATCAGTTCTTTTTTACGTCGGGTTGTTTCTGGGGCCCAGGGCTTTATGGTGGTGAGGGTATCGGTGGTGTTTTCCTTTTTCGGGCTGATCTATTTTAGTTCCCTGTCTAGAACAGGTTAGCAGAGCCCTCCATTCCAGGCTGGGGGCAGTGACCCCAGTCAAAGGTGGAAAAGAGACCACAGGAGAGCATGGAGAGGAACAGCAGCATCTGCCATAGATAGCGTAGGGCGTTGAAAGGGACATCCCCAAAAGCCGCATGCCACCAGACCCTCTGGGTTCGATCAGAACTCGAGGTGCCTGTTGGCAAGGAAGGACACGTGAGGACCGGGAAGATATCAACAGGGAATAGCCGCAAAAGATCTTGAGCCTCATTGAGAAGGTTGGTGTATGGCCAGGGTGTAGGGGAGGTTGAAGCCCCGTGGACATCCGCCGGG